ATTAAAGGAATTAGTACATAAAAATCTCTTAGAATAGTGCCCAACATATAGTAATTGCTCAGTTGTTACCTTGCACTATTTCAAAGCTCTAAGAATTGCCTGGGCATAGGGGCTCACACCTTTAATCCTAACACTTTGGGAGGCTGAAGCAGGAGAATCATTACCTGAGGCAACATAAGGATACTTCGTCTCTATAAAATATAAAGTAGAAAGTAGGGTGGGCATGGTGGCATGGCCACCCAGCTACTCAGGAGGCTGAGGCAGGAGGATTGCTTGAGCCCAAAAGTTCAAGGCTGCAGTAAGCCATGATTGTGCCATTGCACTGCAGACTGAGATACACATACACATCAAGACTCTGTTTCAAAAAAAAAAAAAAAAAACCAACTTAAGAAATCCCTTGGTGTATACATCACAAGGGCTCATTAATGATTTATTGATTCTTTTTTTAATCCTCCACTGAAAAAACAGAAATGTATCTGTATCATGTATAAATTTTCACATTTATGGATAAATTAGGGATAAAATGAACAGCTTATCAAAATTGGGGAATAAGATAAACATAATTATCTTCCCATTTAAGAATTCATGGAGGAAGTAAAATTTCATATTTACATTTTTTTTCTGATTAGAAAAAGAAGAAAATCCCACATAATCCCATCAACTACTCTGTTGATTATTTTAATACACTGCCTTTGTCTTTGTTCTATGCATGTATGTGGAATTTTATATCATTGAGAATATGCTTAGCACCCTGCTTGATTCACATAACATTTATTAAATATACATATATATTTTTGAGATGGAGTCTTGCTGTCTCCAGGCTGGAGTGCAGTGGCACAATCTTGGCTCACTGCAATCTCCGCCTCCTGGGTTCAAGCAATTTTCCTGCCTCAGCCTCCCGAGTAGCTGGGACTACAGGTGCACGCCACCACACCCAGCTAATTTTTGTATTTTTTAGTAGAGATGGGGTTTCACCATGTTGGCCAGGATGGTCTAGATCCCTTGACCTTGTGATCCACCCGCCTCAGGCTCCCAAAGTGTTGGGATTACAGGCGTGAGCCACCGCGCCCAGCTATTGAATACATTTTTTTCTGTGTTTTAGAAACATTTAAATTGACTCCAATGTAAATAAGAAATAGTGGCAATAATATGCCCCTTCTTGAACCCATAATTTTGACCTTAAAAAAATCCACTGAGAAAGGATTTTTGCTTCTTTATTTGCTAAACAGGATTATTGCTTCTTTGTTTTAAAATAAAATTGTCAGCCTGGCACGGTGGCTCACGTCTATAATCCCAGCACTTTGGGAGGCCAAAGTGGGCGGATCACCTGAGATCAGGAGTTTGAGACCAGCCTGGCCAATATGGTGAAACTCTGTCTTTACTAAAAATACAAAAATTAGCCAGACATGGTTGCAGGCACCTGTAATCTCAGCTACTTGGAAGGCTGAGGCAGGAGAACTGCTTGGACCCTCGAGGCGGAGGTTGCAGTGAGCCAAGATTGTGCCACTGCACTCCAGCCTGGGCAACAGAGCAAGACTCCATCTCAAAAATTAATTAATTAGTTAATTAAATTTAATTGCCTGATCAACAGTCCATTTTAAAATTTATTTTAAAATTAACAGAAAGCAGGGGAGAGATAAAACACCCCCTTACAAATTAACTCAAACAAACACAGTGAGGCACCATCTTGCCATCACAGCTGCCTCCCAAAGCCCACCATTTACATTGGCAAGTATGAATAGCTACTCAACCAGTGGGCTCTGGACAGTGTGGGGAGCTCTATGGTTACTGCCAAAAGCCTTATGGGGAAGAACTGAAAGGACGAAAAGGAAAGAAGAAAGAATAGTAAAGCGAGTGATGAGTTTTAAGTTGGGAGTAAGGCAGTTCCCAGTGAAGAAGCAGTACCCTGGATTAACGTGCCTTTTTCAAAAGACTTTTAATGCAGAGACATGGACTCACAGCCCATCATACATACAGTGTAAAGTGTGCTTGCCATTTATTAGACCTTAGTCTGCCTATTCTGGTATAAGCAAAGGGCCTGCCAGCTTTCGGCTTTCTACATATGCAAAACAGCAAGTCTGATGAATCCTGCATTTCATATCCTTGAGAATCAGAGTTAACAGTATGTATGTTGGGAAATGGAGGGTATGGGTCAGCTAGAAAGACAGTTCCCATGGTGTATGACAATATCTTTCACATTATTCTCTCTTGGGTTCTAATATCCAGTCTTCAAATAAAGGTTACTTTTAACACAGGGAAAGAAATCCCTAAACTCCATTTTAGTAGAATTCCTATCATTCTTCAGAAGCAAATATTCTTTCTTAATAAAAATTATTCAACTCACCTGGGGGAATACCCTTTTAGAAAAAGAAATTGACTATCCTGTGTTCACAAGAGCATGGACCCGCTGCCTTGTCATTGGGACTTGAGGACTATTCCAAATAATGACATTGCTAATGTATTTCCTCCTTTACAGTCAATCTGAAATACTCTTCCAATTCAATTACTGAAACTCTTTTCTGGTCACATCAAAATGAAAAATCATGTTTCAAGAGCCTAGATTTTCAAAATGGCTAAAGCAACCCACTATCCTTGCAGCTTAGTTCTGCCCAACTTTTCCAGCATAGGAAAAAGAGATTCAAGAACACTGCAGTTTCTTTGCTGGAAATGGATTTGCTAGGATGTCCCCTCAATGACTCCCCCATCATGGAGGAATTATATAAACATGAAACAAACAACAAAGCCAAACAAAAACGAAAAGAAAACTACCCCCATAAAACCTCATGCCTTCAGTCATCAAGTCATATTTTGTTCTACCTCTTTGCTATCCTTCTCGCATGCTGCTGTTTGTCCAGCCTGTGAATTACCTGTCTAATCATGCATACTATTTGGTCTATAACACACATGCAGCAAACAGCATACTTTTCATGATCTGAATGAAGACAATGATCTAATACTTTCATTTCAAAGTACACAATTCTAAGTTTTTCCATTTCCCCAAAACAGAGATCGAAAGCCTAATTTAAAACAAACCGTGATTTATTTTCTTTGTGAGATTACAGTACAAGACCGAGTGATAAAACCTATGCTTTCCTACAAAATAAAGTATATCTGTACTCTAGAGCACCTTAAGAATATTGATTCAACTTATAAAAAGTATAATAGCATTTTAGCCTTAATATTCAAAAACCTTGAGGAAGCAAATATCACTTTTGACTTGTCCCCTGTTTAATAATCCTCCGCTGTAGATGACATTTATTGCTCGTATATCTCACCTTGGTGAGTAGAATTCTCAGTCCAAATCCCTGAAAGGAATAGTGTGGCTCCCTAGTGCAAATTTCCTGAGAGCCCCTTCCCTTAGCATGTGCCAAGAATCAAATCTTGGCCACTTAGTGCTCTGTGTTCCACATGTGAGCTCGCTACGCACTGAACGGCTGTGCTAACTGAGATGGATGGCCCTGTCAAACAGGAAGCTGGCACACCAGGGTGCAAGCAGTGGGATACAATGACCTTTACATTCAGAGAAAAATATCCCTAAAGTGGCATGAAAAGTTTGTGGGGGGAAGGGAAGGGAGATTCTTTTATTTCATTTAGGTACATAGCATGACATAAAAGCAATGGTGCCCAGTATGCAATTTGCTCAGGATCAAATCGTGAATATTCCTCACACAAGAAGGAAAGTCGTTGGAAAAAGGAAATGAATCATCCTTTATCAGGCTGCTTTGAGAGCACTGGACTCTATGATTCAGCTACACCACTGTGCCCAGCCTGGCCAGCGCTTGGATTCAGACTGCGCTGGGATTCACAATAACTCGTAGGGTACTACCTGCTCTAAGAAAACATTCCTAATTTCTATTAGGCTGCTTTCTTGATAGAACTAAAGTATAACTTAAATACTTAAAATTATTTCTTAAAAAGCACTAATCTACTTACAGAATCAAATTAAATACCTTGGGAATTTAAACCCCTTGGTCAGCACACTTGTGACTTCATATCAATATTTAATTTTAATCTCTCATAGTATCCTTATTGGTACAAATGAGGCTCTGACTGATAGTTTTAGGAATGATATGAAGAGAAACTCATTTTAAAAAAACAGCGAAAATCCTTGGCACATTCACAAATGTTAACTAAAGATAGGAATATAGGACATTAATATATCAACTAAGATCTGGAAGTTATGAATTTCTCTCCTTTAGTTATAACCATAATCATAAAGAATACTATACAATTCAATCATTTCAGCTGAAAAATCAAGAACAATAAATTCCATTAGATCAATTTTTTTTTTTTCCATTACTTAAGGTTTGGGGGTAATTTTTGTTGTTATTTGTTTTGTTAATTCTTTGGCATGAAAGAACAATGGGCTATACTTCAAAATGAAACAACAGGAGCTCACAGTGGGCTCCCCAGTATTGTATAATACGTACTGAAATAATGATGCAATTTTAATATTTAATTAAAAAGTGAAAGGATTGATCATAAAGACACTGCAATATTTTTTAATTGAATGGACCACATCAAAACTACAAAACAGTTTTCAAAGATACAAAAGGATAAGAGGCATCCATTTTTTTCTGTTCAATTAAAAGCATATCACAAAGTGCAGAAGCCACAGGCCCAAAGCAATAAGTAAATTTCAAAAACTGAATGCTTTATACACCATGTATTACAAGTTTGGATAAGTCAGGAGTTAAATATCTCAGGACTGGCCCTAACTTAGAGAAAATAACAGTGTTATGAATGCAAAAAAGCTACGATCACTTTGAAATGCAAGTTGATTTTGAGGCTCTAGAAGTGCTGGTCAAATGCTTCCCAAAAAAACAACAAGAAAACAAGAAACAAGACCTTCTACAAGAAATATTCTGCTGCTCACTAGGAAATGCTAAATCTGAAAATTCTCCTTCAACCTTTGTTTGGAGAACTATTTCAGAAAACATATTCTTCCTCAAATTATGACACACAAGAGACTTGGGAGGAGAGGGGAGAGGCATTAATACCTTGGGCCTGAGCGGCAGAGCTATGAGAATACCCCAGGGCCAGGAGCGCAGTCTCCACCAGCTGGCTAAAAAGCACATCTTTCCGCACCAGGACAAACTCAGCGTGTTCTTCTCTGTTGTCATATTCAAGAGAGCCGTCCAACTGCTCCACGACACAAAAGACAGGAATCATCAAACCTGAAGGGACAAAATTCAAGAGCAAAACACAAACATTACAAAGCAAATCTCAATCACCATGATGAGAAGGGAAGCGACAGTTATAAAAATCACTCATCTGTGATCGACAGTGGTTTAGATTAAACAAGCCTCTTAGTCATATCAGCCTAATGGAAAGCTGTGGGTTTTCCCCCTTATTATTACAGAATTGCCCAGGGCAGCAGCAGAAGCCCTTAGATTCCAGTCATTTCCACCAACCAGAGGTGTCCTGGTACATAGGTGAGACGAAGGTGACCTTACAGATACTAGATTCTTTAATGTCTATAGTTTCATCATTAACTGTTAGCACTAGTATTTTCAGATCAGATCTGCTCTTGTCTAGAAATACATTTCAAAGCTTCCAGTTATAATAAATATATTACTTTTAAATGTAAAAGTAATATACTTCAAAGCTCCTAGCTCCTTCTTACTAAAAAGGTATATTAGATTTTAGGACCTAAGCTGTTACGTGAATATAAAAAAGTCAATAGAAATTTAAAATAAGTCCCTCTTATATGTTTTTTTTTAAATCCTAGTAAATAGGTTATCAACTAGCCTAAAAATAACATGATCATAAACGTCTTAACTTACATTTAATTTATATCAAAATATACATCCAAATGTAAAAGTGTGCCTATGTAAAATTATTTCTACATTAACATCATTTACTACTGGAAAGGGAAGATCTTTTCTTGTGTTTTCAGAGAAAAGAAGTAAACTACCCTAAAGAATAAAGCAAATTAGTCTAGTTGAAAATCTGTTGAAATCTGTTGTCACTGAAATATTTCTCTGCTTTGTATCAAAGTGTGAAAAGCTAAAAAATGTTTAATTCACCAAGGATTTTTTAAAACTGTTTTTTATTTTTAAAAAAAGTCATACAGGCACTTAAATCTAAACATAACCAAGGCAGAAGAAGATCAAAGTTTTATCAACATGCAAGTAATAAACATGGACCCTGCCTAATGTGATTTGCACAGATTAGTATGTTACAGGTCTTCTTTTTGTGCAAGAAAAATTAAAAGTTATGAAGGATGGGTGAGCAGGCAGACAGGGGAGATAAAAGTTACATGGCCATGGTGAAGGTATTCACAACAAAAAGAAGACCTTTGCGTGAAATGACTATATGGAAATATGGTCCCTGACACAGAGAATGCATAGGAGTTTTTCAGAGCCCACTCCCTGTGGCCTCAACCCTAGAAGCCTCCTGACTCACTCTGATCTGGAAAGCCGAGGGTGGGAGCAGATGCTCTACAAACTACTGGGTTACAGATTGAGGTTTTTGTTCTAAAGATAATGCATTGGTGCAACTGGTTCCCATGTGCTAATTATTATTATTAAAGATAATAAGTATTGGGTATAATTATTAAATATAATCTTATTAACAATAATAATACTCATTAAGAATTGTTATCATTAAAGATCATGGTAATTATTATTAAGACTGCACAACAGTCTAACAAGTCAAACCATATCATACAAGACAACTATTGACTCAGTGTTCACTGCTGAGAACAAGAATTGTCTAAAGCAAATACACTCTCCATGGTGTAGATTTATTTAAAAATATAAGATACAGGTGGAGCAGACTGATTTTTTAGACAAAGAAGAAGATTTAGGACAGCCACACAATGCCTTGCAAGACATATTTTTTTCATTGTGACCATTACTGCTAGATGAAATCCTTATTTATTTATAGCAAGTTTATTCCAAAAAAAAAATATATATAGGATATGTAGCAAATAATATAAATTAGATTTCTTCCAAATTATCTTTTCTTTTTCTTTTTGAGACAGTCTCGCTCTTGTAGCCCAGGCTGGAGTACAGTGTTGAGATCTCGGCTCACTGCAACCTCCGCCTCCTGGGTTCAAGCGATTCTCCTTCCTCAGTCTCCTGAGTAGCTGGGATTACAGGCACCTACCACCATGCCCGACTATTTTTGTACTTTTGGTAGAGACAGGGTTTCGCCATCTTGGCCTGGCTGGTCTCGAACTCCTAACCTCAGGTGATCCACCCTCCTTGGTCTCCCAAAGTACTGGGATCGAAGGTGTGAGCCACTGCACCCAGCCCCAAATTACCTTTGTAGTCATTCATTTATCCACTGAATGCCTACTATGTGCCAGGTGGCTCCAGGGATACAAGTAAGAACAAGTCTTATATAACTGCTGCCCTCAATGTAGTTGAAGGTGCTGTAAAACCTTCCCACTCAAGCATAATGGCATTTTATAGGACTCATTCATGAGAGTCTGTACCAGCAAGGAATAGCCCCCATTTAGAGCTTTTAACTCTTACATGCTGGCATATAATCTTTGTCCAAGGAAGTAGGTAGATTTTTAATTCTAATGATTTAAGCATATGCACACATAGGGCCATATAGTCCATGGTGCCATAAGCTACTCCACCACTAATACCTGTGTGTACATAAGTGTCAATGCTGAAAATCCATGTGCAATTCCTAATGTCAATATCTGAGTGTCATACATCTGGGAATCACAGATAAGATCTTTAAATGAATCCAATTGCTCCATAAGCTATCATGTCTCCATTACTTAGAAACTATAAATCTTTCTCAAGTCTATGGTCAACTGAAAAACTTAAGACCCTATTAACTTTTAAAAATAATATTAACTATTCAACCAGTTAGATATGAAATATAACATGAAAGCACAGGGATCTATAACATGTAGGGACTTATAATTGTCAATTACTTAAATAGTTCCTAAACATTTTGCTTCAGTGATTGAAGGAAGCAATTGTTAGCTGACACATCAGTAATAGCTTCTTACAGAAAGCATGCACCAATCCTCCACTGGCATCACTTATTTAAAAAAAGCAGGGGGGTGCTTTGTGGTCATTTATAAAACAGTATTAATGAGGAATGTCTGATAATAGGGTTTGTTATGCAGCGCATATATATGAGATACTGAAGAATATCATAAAGAGCTTATATTTTAAAAAATTTACCTTCTTACTAGAATTTGACCCATCTAAACAATTATGGTTTTTATAATGAAATGCAATTTTTACAAAAGAAGAAAAAAGGAGGAAAAATAGATGTAACTGCTAGTGACAATAACAAGAGAAATGAAAAATAGTAAAATAGTATGACTGAGTTCAAGTGTAGAAAGAAGAAAATTAAGGCATAAGTTTAAAAAACCTTTAAAAACTGGAAATCCCTAAGGGAAGCAAACTGTAAAAGGATGAGTAAAAATATCTGCAGAGAGAGAAAGAGACAGAGATTTGTTCATTTTATCCACAACTCGTCCCAGGCAAAAAGAAGGAAGAAAAAAAGAAAGAGAAAAAGTGACAATGGATAGAAAGATAGGGAGGTGCTTGAAAAGCACTTCAGAAAATAATTTAAGAGTGAGAAGAATTTAAAAGCTCCAATAAAAGAAAAATGTAAAACTGAAATGCATTTTCTTTTTTTTGGAAGGGGGGGTAACCTCAGTGATATGAAATGCATCTTCAACAAAATTTAGAAATGGTGAAGAACAAGGAAAAACTTGCTCTAGCCCTATATCTTGAGCTTCCAACATTATTATTATTTTTTTTTATTGTAGCACAGACCCATTTTCAGATAATCTAGTGGAGAACTTTGAACCTTTTGATTATAAGCCTTACTAAGCCTTTTACAATTGCAGGAGGTAAGCAGGTAGTTTAATCTGGAGAACAGGCGCTCGGCCTCAGCCATTTGCTAAAAATTAAGAGTTGTTCTAGTAATTGGGATAAATGATGAATTCTGTTGTCAAAGAGGCAAAATAAGCCTGGTACCCTCTCTACACTAGAAAAATGCATTTTTCCAACTGTCATTAGTGATGATACTGAAATTGTCACTTTTATTCTGACATTATTTCTGAAGAAGTGTGTATAATTTATAAAGAGTTAACCATTGTTACTGCCGCTGTTCATGGCAACAGCTGTGAGAACTGAGACACGTGGGAAAATGGTTAGATGTGGTGATGAACAGCACCGGGTCAGGGTCAAGTCCTGGCTCTGTCCCTCTTTACCTGTGTGTGACCTTGAGTAGTTCATCTGACCTCTCTGAGGCTCAAATTCCTCCTAGCTAAAATGCAAACAATATCTACATCATATATCTGTTGTGAGGATTAAACAACATCATATAGTTAAATTGTCTGATAGCTCTCAAACAATGGAATCTATTTATTTTCCTTTTTCTCAAAATCAGTATTAATACGATTTTACAGAGGAAAAAAATTAAGCAGTAATTCTTTTCAGGGTCTGTAATCAATGTTCCTGATACTAACTAAAAGGCATTTCTTCAGAATAAAGAGGATACTAATAATCACTGAATGACCTATTATGCAAATGACAATGGCTTGAAGTGTTTAGCATGCCCTATAGCAAAAAAGGTGAAAGTGCCTTTTTAAAAGCACAGTAAAACTACCTGTCCATTATAGTAGCCTCTAACTTCATGTAGCAATTGAGCACTTGAAACATAGCTAGTCTCAAATTGAGATGTGCCATAAGTATAAAATACATATTAAATTTTAATGACTTAATAACAAAAAGAAATAAAAATAAATACATCATGAAGGTTTTTTAAAAAGTAACTGCATATAAAAATAATATCTTGGATATATTGAGTTAAATAAAATATGCTATGAAAATTAGCTTTACCTGTTTAACTTTTAGTCTAGCTACTAGAAAATATAAAATTATACATGTGGCTTATATTGTATTAATATCAGAGAGCACTGTTCTAATGAACCTGCCAAATAACAATATACAAGTTTTTCTCGCACAGGATACATTTATCACAAACTGACAGTAGGCCAATTGTGTGACTGTCGTGAGCCCTTTAGCTATCTTTCCTGTGTTGCAGATCTTAGGAGTCCTGAAGACAGAAGCACTCTTGGTTAAATTCCGAAATCCAAGGTGTTACCTTCTCTGCAATTGCAGGCTGCTGTTTCATTACTAACTATATTAATCCAACTTCTTTTATTAGGAAACAGTTCTTTCTCCCT